GGGTTTAACCCTTCCTCCACAGGTGGACACAAGCCAGAAAAACACAATAAGGAGCCGATCAAGGCAAAGGAAACCTATGTCCAGAATGCCCAGGTCTCCAATTGCTTCATAGTTGGCATAATGGCGAAAATAAAAGACAATAAAACCATCAAACTCAACAAATAAACACAGAAGAAGTGGACAAAAATAAGAGACAACAAGACACAAGGACGAGGAACAGCAAAATAATGGAACAATATACTAACAAGGGCCAGTAAAAGCAGAACAAAGAGGTTATGACGTAGCCATATCTCATGAATATTATTTGAAAGTGAAATTATTAATAGAAAGTATGAAACGCCGGAATAACGTATATTCGGTCTTGAACCCCACTCTATCTATTGTGGTTATTTGAAGACTGTACGTGCTTTCTAAGATTCTAAACTGGTCACGAAATTTAACAACTGCTTCTGTGAATTACACTCAAATCTATGATGAGCTACGGTTAATAAGTCTACGGTTTCCCGCTCCATGCGTCGAGACATGCGTATGTGATTAAAAGTCCCAGAAGTTTGTTTACGGTGCTCTTTGATTAACAAGTCACTGTTGGAGATATGTCCTGGCTCCCTGTTTACTAGTACTTCGTCAAGCGCGATCAACTAGCCTCGCAAACTACAAAAACAGACATTCTTCTAGTCTGGCAGATTCCAGTGGTATACTGTGAGATAATTGGATCTTTTTTTATTTATTTTCATGTAAGAGGAAGGCCTGATAGCGCGATTAAATTTTCGCGCAAAACAAGGCCACAATATCTTTTGTTTTCTTGGTGCATAGATTTCAAGCTTTTTCGCATTGTGGGCGAAACTAAAAAAATGTTTTGTCTAAAGGAAGTAAAACAATTTCCGTTTTACTGTAACGATCACCGTGCTGATAGCATTGCAATAGATAAACACCACTGCTGTTGCTATCATCCATAACTTAAAGGGCAGTAGTCGTCGCGCCACGCATGCGCGAGATACTAGTATATAGGCGGAAATTAACAAGTACAAACTGAGAATTTACCAAGCTTTAAATGGGGTATTTTTATTGAAGGATTCAGCAGCGGTAATTAGTGCAAGATTTCCATTAGAAGAGCGCATTGTATTATGGGAAAATCAGTGTTTGACAACACAGATGTCGCTCATGCGCCCTTTAAATTTTCAGTGTTGGTTAAAGGGCGGTGGTCGTCGCGTAGCGCGTGTTCGACTTTCATGTAAACACGGTTAGTAACCGTGATGTAAATACACATTTTATAAACATGCATTTTACACGCGTTGTATACGTCGCTATGAGTCCCATATCGAACAGGAGGCGGCACGACGACTGCCGCCCTTTAAGGCCAGACTTTTTTCATTTCTTGTTTCCCGAGTTTTTATAAGGCATTTTTTTTAGGAGGGCGGAAAAAAATATAATTAATTCCTTTTTTCCATTAGATTTGTGTGATTCTCAAAGAATTAATTGTAAGTGAGATCATTGATCGGAGAGAAGAAATGAAATAAAATTGTATTCCATGTATAAACTTGTTTCTCGTCTGCGTGAGACTTCGGTACTTTGATCATGATACTCCCACGAAAATGCAGCTTGGATTTGTTATGCGGCGGGCGGCAAAAAAGGAAGATAAAAATAATATTTTTTTTAGCATTTTGTTGCGCTTACAAGTCGGCGGGCGCGAGACATTATGCTGAAATAAAATTATATTTTTATTTCATTTTCGGCTCCTGTTCATTCGGCGGGTTCGCTAAACAATGGATAATAAAAATCTGGCCTAATCAAAAATAAAAAAAAATACCCTGGAAATTACAGAAAAATCAGCAACGAGATGTTGTTTTTAAACACCGCTGAAAAATCAAGCACTCTGCATGTCACCTTGGTTACCTTGATCGGAAACTGCCTTGTCACCTAGCATGCAGCGGTCACTATGTCACAAATATGTTGTATGGCCTAGCATCACTCAGCATAGTGTCATGATGTAGTAGCGCCCTCTATTGTTCATATGTGCTTGTGTTAGAATCTCCTGTATTAGGGTCATAGGGCAGATCAAATATAGTTCTACACCGGTAAGCAGCGGTCTGGCTGTGTTTCTTATACATATCAGCGAAATGAGTGGTTCGAATGGCATAATTAACAAGTAGTCGCTTTCAGGACAGTACTGAAATGATCGTCTATGATATTTTCATATTTATTTAGCAAATATTGAAACCATACAACTCGGCAACGTCTCTGGTTTGAACGCAACTGTGGGGTCAGTTGTTTTTTTGCAAATAGACTTGGCAAAAATCTTTCAAAGTAGTCAATCGAAAATAATCAGCATCTCTTAGCACGTCTTGGACATTCTCTTTGTTAAAGGAAATATCGCCAGAGTACATGTAATCTAAAAACGTCCATAATTCAAAGTTTCAGCTGAAGTGCAGGTCAGACTGATGCTGTTTTTTTGATCCCTAGAATACAGAAAGTCAACAAAAAACGTCTGTTTGCTTTGCAGCTAGAAAAAGTCGCTGAGCTTTGAATTCATGACCGTCAATGACAAGATTTACGCCACAACATTGGCAATTCTATCGGAACTGATATAACTATCCAACTAATCATGTTGAAGTATATTATAAAGAACGTCCTGAGGTGTTCACCATTTTGATAAGACATTGCCACTGCGCATGCTCGAAAACGACTGTCGCAGCTAATTGAGTGTTTAATAAGACGGTTTCTTTAATTGGCCAATAGTTTCAGCATCATCCAATGAAGGCCCCCCTTGCTGGGATACCAACAACTACAGCTGATAGTAAGCATCGAGTGTGATGCAGTCGACCGTTCTGTTTTTATTTGGCGAAAATGGAAACACTTGTTGAAAATATTGATCCACAGTTGTTGTGGAAGATTGAGGACATTTCAAAGAACACAGAGGAAATTAATGAAAGATTTAAAGACTTGGTTTTCGGGCAGAAATTCCCCAGCAAATATCGTAGTAAATGGTTTTCGTCAACATGGTCGCCAGACCCGGAAATGGAGTCGTCTGCTGTTACCAGATACCAAGACATGCAACTGACCTGCATGGGTTTACTTGCTTTCACCCTTTATTGCAACGAAAATGAAACGCAGGACTTTCCTCCAGTGATAATGGACACCTTAACGGGATTCCTAAATCGCGGTTCAGGCACACCGAGGTCAGAGTTCAACATGCCTATTCAGTGCGAACCCGTGTCGTATGCTAATTTCGTATTGAAACACTGTAATATATTTAAATCTTGCGAAATTGTGGAAGAGACTGTAGACATATGGGAGAAATTTGCAAAACCAGTCGAACTTTGGATCACTGACAGATGTTCAGGTAACGCATCCGGGTGCGGGGATAGTGGGGTCAGTTGAATTATATACGTGTATGCGAGGCACCAACTTTTGGTGTAACTTCAACAACAACAACAACAACAACAAACACACATTTAAACATGGTTTTAAACATTTTATTTCACCAGAAATCATGCTATCATTGCTACGTATCAACACAGCACAAATTTGACAAAAAATGTTAAAAAGGGATGGTAAAACTTATTTACCATAGCAACCAATCAATAGTAAATGACTCAAACATCATTTTCAGATATTTGACCCATATTTTGCATTTTCAGACCTAAAGTGACTGTGGTTATCCATGAAAATGGATCATAATATTTTAAGCAAGGGATAAACAGATAAGATGCAATATACTGTAAAGGGTTTAATTATTCACTGGGTTTGTGAATATTTAGCATAGAACACATTATCTAAATGATAAAACCATAAATTTAAACCCACTGAATATGCCTGAATTTGTAAATCAGCGAAATCTAAACCCAGTGAAAATTAGTCATTTTACAGTGTATTATAATTTTCCATCATTGCTGCAATTAGTCGAACTGTTGGTGCTATGTTTAGTTTGTTTTCTAGATACCCCTGTTTTGCTATTTACAATTTGGCAAATTCAAAGTACTGTATATTGTTTTTGTATACAAGTAATGTTACTTTGAATAGATACAGTTAGTTAAAGTGTCTATAGCTGCAATTGTCAATCTTTTTCACCAATTTTTTTTTTTAGTCAAACATTTCCTGTGTCATTATCTTTATGCTACATGTATACTGGAATATAGTATATACATACACTTTATGATGTTGTACATTAAAGTTCAAGTGAAAAAAGATGGCTGCAAGGTTGTGTACAGGTCTCAAAGGGGTTCATCTACTGAAACCAGTTTTGTCAAACGGACCTCAAAGATTGTGGTACAACATGACTAATTTCAACAAATTGTGACTTATTTGGCCCATCACATTTTATGTGACATTAGTCTTTGTGTAGGGTCACTCTGTCCATGCAATTGTGCCTAAAGCAATTGTTTGATTTGGTAAATTGTATGTGGTTACATTTAAAATACATTAAAAAAAATCACAGCTTTGGACGCTTTAACGACGTTGAATAATCATCAAGTTTTTTTCAGTAGTGAAAATATTTCTTCTTTTCTTTCTCAGTTGTCACATTTACTAACATACAGGGAAATGCAGCGAGCACCCAGGTACATTAACATGCTCAAAAGTGCAAAATTTGAATTCAGCTCCAATTTACGTGTTCAGATTATGTCATGTGACAGAGCCAAGGAACCATCATGTCACAGTGACATTACTGCAATTTGATGTGCTATCCCACCATCAACCAGGCCTTGTCTAAAACCTGTAGGCCTTTAAACAAGGTTGACCCAAAAGTCGCATACATTCGAGATTGTATCGTAGCCAGCTGAATTGGCCCACTCTGTTGAGTCTGTGGCTCACAAAACCCAAGCTAGTGTAATTTGGTTTTCAACCCAAAGTGTGATTTTAACTAAGATCATGAGTCTAAAAATATACAGCTCAAGCTTAAACTGAATTTACCTAATTTCATTTTCAAAAATATATTTATCAAGTTTGCCCAACAAAAGTTTGTAATACATAATCTGACAACTAACATTTACCTAATGTTTGTTCTTATAGACCATCTAAACAGCAACTCTGAGTGGGACCTTCCTATAGCACCACCGTGTAATCTGGATAATATCAAATCACAGCTAAAAGAAAAACATAACAGGACTTATGAAGAATTTCATAATTTTAATTTTGACATGGATGATAAGTTCCAGACCGGACTAAAGAGTATTCTTCGCCACTCATCTCCAGATAAAACTAAAGAAGAAGCAATACTGGAGGCAAAGATATTCTACTATAACAGGTATGACATTAAAAAACTGAATCGCTTGCTGAAAGACTTCACAAGACTTTTTTTTTAATAATATTTTAAAATTTTGATCAAGACTGTACCAGGGGTTTTTCTAGAAAAAAAACTGCAAGAAGGAGGCACTGCAATTCAGCGGCGCTACCAAGTGGGGGGGAGATAGAGTTTTTGATAATTGTAAGTTAAAATGGAGCATTATATGGCTTCCTTAGGGCCAAAATTACTGTCAGACAAGTCACAGTTGAAGACTGTGGACACATGTGATCCCTGGTCTATCAAAATTTTATAGTTGCCAGAGGATCTGCTCCTCAGGGTAAGGGGGGCGCATGGCCATGGCATGAGGGTGGTGCGCCCCTGTTCCCTTGTTTAAAAAAATCCCTGCTGTATACTCAATAATAAATTATATTCAAATTTGTGAAAACAATTATAGAAAATTGTATAAAATTGTATACATGTTGCAATAAATATTTTGCGGATATACTATAGTCCCTTCTGAAGGATTAAAGGCTCACTTTATTAACTTAAAGGGAAGGTAAATAAAAAGATGAGGGTATTTAGTGAAGATTCTATTGAAAGTGAACTCGCATATTTTTTTTCCACTTGGTTTACGATCGAGCTTTTGCAAATTAGGTAAATTATATGCACAAATTTCAACAGAAATTTCTAGGGTCTATAGACTATTCTAAATAGCACCAAGTATGTTTTATTTACATGTATTGTGTGGTTTTTGAAACAGCTAAAAATAGCTAAGGCCACATCAACTTAATTTTATGGATGACATCCGCGCGCGCATTATTTTTCGCCTGTTCTCAATAACAACAACAAAAAATCTCTGACGACGAGTCTCCGGAGATCGGTTTTCTGTCCAGAACTTGACAACTCATATTGTCGTAATACTCGTTTTGGACTACCTCAAAACCAATGCACATTATGTAAAGCGCAAAGACCTATGGGAAGGATATTGCGTCAAAACATGCCAATTTTGTCGTAAATGATCCAACATGACGACCACACCACCAAAATTCATGAGCATAAAAGTTCAGAGGTAAAACGGAGGGATTGTTGTAGACTGGTATGCAATTGACGTTGGCCAGGGAGATGTGACGTTTACACAGCTATACGAGAGATCGTTAGCAGCAAGCGAGTTTCGCCCAGACAACTTTAAGGACATATTATCCAGAGTGGCTGTCCCGCGTTTCTTCTGCAACGATGAGAGAAATGGGAGAGGAGTGGAGGTGTATGATGACCTAAAAGTCGGTCAGGCGACAAGTCAGTTCGGTTGCTTTGTCCGCATTGAAGTCGACAAAACTGCAACGAAAGCAGCAGAAGCTCCTTGGCCGAAGTCGGGTGAAATAAAGTTTCTTATTATTTGTTTTTTCATTTTCTGATTCGGATGATTTGCTTGCACGCACAGACAGTAATATTTTGATCATGTGACAAATTTTCATCAATTTTCTGCATCCAAATTTTTGTTGACTCTCTGTTGGTGTTTTTTTTTTTTTTTTTTTTCAATATCGAGCCTCTTATAATTTGTTACATAGTTAAAGTGCCTGTGCAATTCCCACCCTCACGTTTCCCATTTTAGATCTGTGTCCCACTGAAATGGGTAGTTATTAATTTTTTTGCTGAAAATGATTACTCGTATCCAAGTAAATTTGGGATATTTCTCGCGTTGTAGCCACGCCCACCTATCCTGAAACGGTCGACTGTTTCCGGATTTCCGACTCTCGCCGAAAGTGCGCCACCAAATGCCAAAATGTGAGAGGAAGTCATACCCCTGAGCCGTAATAACACTAGTCATTCAGTGTACTTTTAAATGATATACATTTTTCGGTCGGCGTTTTTTTTTTCTTTTTTTTTTTTGGTCTATTTTCTTTTTTTTTGGAGAGAGAGTTCTTAGATTTTGTGTTGTGGGCAGTTGCAGTGAAACGTATAGTCATAGTGTAAGTATTGACACGTTTCTAATCGATCCGAAGGTGCGAAATCAGTGGATGAAAGCCACTTAACCTCAGATTCTTTTTTTTTGTGGAAAAACTGTCCTCGTCCATGAAAAAAAAAACTAGGTTTAAAGAGAAACGCCGACAACATAAACCTGGTGCAACACTTTTGAAAGAAATAGATTCCAGACCATGATCACCGAGGCGGATTACAGAAGAGAGAGAGACCTCCGGCAAGTGTTTCAAATGAGTTGACTTCTTTTGCGAACATGATTATCGTTTTATAGAGACCATTTAGTTCCTGTTTAGTAAAAGGTAGCAATAATTTTGACAGTGAAATTACCCAGCCCTTACACACTGCTAATTGTTTTCATTTTCGAAGGCTGAAAGTTTCTGAATTGTTTGTTGATTGGTGTTGAATGTCGAATTCACATCTCTGTTCTTTTTTTACCTCCATGCTTGCAGCTTGATCTCTTTTTACCTCCATGATCTGTGATAGAGGGACTGTGATATGTTATAATTATGACAATCACTCCATGGATCACGCTAACTCGAATCCACTCTGAATTTATCTGTATGTGTGTCGATCTCGATTATTTTGTTATCCGATTAAACGCCGCTTTTAACGCACTTGCCCTCGTCATGACCCGACGCGTTCACCTATTTCAACAAAATGTGAATTTATTTCCACGCGGCTGTCATTTATTTAGTAACTGTGATTTGTCGTTTTTTTAAATTATTTTATAGTGATCACGATAGTCTAATGTTTAGAATGTCAAAATATGTTCTCTTTTATTTTAATTTTGAAAGTTTTACTCAGACGAT